TGACTGTTGGCTGCTGTGCAGGGATAAAGCTCAGTAACACAATAACTCAAAGACAAAGACATTATTGTTTTGGGAAGGAATGGCATCAAGGTTGTCATGAATGACACGTGTTTAGACGTATTTACATTCTCTATTGTTTTTGGAAACTTGGTCAATTATGTGCGTGGCATGATCTGCATATATTTAAAATAGTATTTGCAGTACTCAGGCTGGTAAATTTTATTAGTGTATTTTTACAGACTGAATTGCCAAAAGTAATATTTTTTACATGTAATATACAGTAACATCTAAATTTAGCTGCGCAATTAATGTCGATACATACTCATATACAAAATAAACACTGTTTAATTCAGTTTTATTTCATTGACCTACTTGAAGCCATTGTCTTAAGACATCCATCCATCCATCCATCCATTTTCATCCGCTTATCCGTTACCGGGTCGCAGGGGCAGCAGTCGCCACCCAAATCACATTGCACCGTACCAACCCCCCAAACCTTCCTGTGGGTGGTGAGTCCACTGGAAGGTATTAACCGCCCTAACCGGGATTCGAACTTGTCCAGGAGGTGAACCCTGAGGTTCCACACCAATAACAGAGACATTGCCTCTGGGCCAAAGCACCACTTGTCTTAAGACATGTCTAATCATAATATAAAAAGGACCATAACTGTAATCAATACAGTCTCACGAGACTTCACAGACCTGGAGGACACAACTGACCTGCCTGCAGTCCAGATTTCTTAGGGATTTGAGAGTCAGAAAATCCAAATCTCTCAAACATTCTTTAGTCATACCTGTTTTTTGCTCATCAGATTAAGGTGCTCAGTGAAACTACTGAACTCTTTCCTTTTGCCGGACTAAGAAAAAAAGATTCAACTTCAAAATGACATGTTTTTACTTTATTTAAGAAACTTTTGTAGCACTTCATCTAACTCGCACCTTAAAACTACAGTTAGCCTCCATGACATTAAAGGGTTTTCTAAAGAGCGTGTGGCGGCTGTGGTTGTCCACATCATCCAAAAAACAGTCTGACAATCATTAAGTGCGCGTGGGTGAAAAACATGTTTGCTGTTGACCTGCGGAGCGGCTGATGAGGATGATAAGAGAGAGAGAGAAAAAACAAACCCATTGTTCTCCGGCTCACAGTGAATGCCTCCCTGATTACCCACTCCAGCATCACACAGATTACAGTTAAGTGCAAGATGAAGCCGAACACCCTCCAGATTGAGAGCCCTGATCACATTTTCATAACTCAGTTTCAGGGGAGATAAATGGTGAAAGTGAACGAGGGGACTGTCATCATCGTTCTCTGCATCTGATTCACACAGAGCACTTTTTGATGATAGTGTCTAATGAATATGGAGTCCATGCCCTTTTACTACTTTGATTCCTTCGTTTAGAGATTAAAAATACTGATAAACTTTGAGGGGAAAAAACAGAGATACTGTTTTATAGTGGAAAGAAGAAATATTATTTTGTCTAAAATAAATAAAAATACCAGTCTAGCCATTTCTTTTTAGTATTTATTTATACATTTGAAACTATTTAAAAAAATCTATAAACCTCTGTTAAAATCCCTGGTTATTGTGAATGAAACAGTGACACACTATTTTACATTTTTAATTCTAAATTATTCTGTATATGTAAGTTCCCAGTTTCCCAGGTCAATGGTTAACCAGTCCAGGTGTCCTTAATGTAACTTTAGAAATTATTCTGTACTTTGTTTGCCGCCTTCCTTCTGGAATGAGACCACCGGGGGGCAGAATATGCAACCATCTATCTCAACTAGGAAGTCTGGACTCCATTTTAAAAATATAATACTTTTTCAAAGCCACACCGAAACACAAAACACACAAAAAAAAATCACACTGTAATCACAAACACTTCACTTACTTTTTTACAACTCAAATGCCAATGGTGCTTTCACAGCTCAAGGCAAAAACATGAATAGATTGCACAGGTTAGCCTAGTACTGTTGATGAGTTAATGAAGGATCTTGACATCTTAAGATATTATTTCCACACCAGCTATATAAAGTTCAGTTGGCATTGGCCTTTTTTTTTTTACATTAATTGAAGTGCTGGAACTATTTGCGTCGTTAAAATACCTTCAGATTGCAGTAATGGACTTTTCTGATGTTCAGAGGAGCTCTGGGAAATCTGAAGTATTTAGACGTTACAAAAACCTCATGCCACAGCAAAGCAGCGGTGCTGCTCATTTAAATTTCCTAATGGGGTATGGCATAATGATCCACATGAGCATTTTCAGATGAACACTGCCATCTGCTCTGACAGACATCACCTCCACTCCTGCATGTGGATTAATAACTGCTCATTACCTTTGCACAGGAGTTTGTTTTCCTATTTATTTATATTTTTATGAAAGAATAAATACCAAGCATTACATGGCAAAAACAAGCTAATGTTGAACAATATATGTAGTCAAAAAATACATCTAAGTCATGCGTCAAAAAGTAAAATAAAATCCTTCAATGCTAACAAAACATTTTGCCAGAAAAAGCTTAATGCTTACGAAAACAACTTAAAGTAATACATAAATACCTTGGTAAAAAATAAAGGTCAAAGATAAAGTTAGATGTGAACATTTTCCTAAATGATGCTCAGCTGAAATAATGCTGAACATTTGCCAAACGATATTTAGAACACACAAACTGAACCCTGAACTCTCCTCAGGAAACCAACAGTATGTAAAATTTTATCTGACAAAACATAAAAAATTAATTTAAAAACAGACGTGACAAGGCACACCTGGTGGTCAGCAAGCTTGAATTGATCGGCCCCTGTATTCAACCTGGACCAGCTTGTGTTTGTGTCTTTTTCACGGTATGTCTGCTCTTACCAGTTAACACACATCAGTGATTATGACGGTGCGTCTCTGTTGTGTGGTGCAATTTATCCACAAAGCTCATGTCTGTGAGGGCAGTAAAAAAAATCACAGTCATCTCAGTATCTTGCCCATTCAGTTTAGTGGTAAAGAGCTACAAGCAGCTGAATGTATTTTTAGCTCCACCACAGATGAGGGGGGCTTGGGAGGTGGTTGAGGGTGGGAGGGGGTTTGGCAGTGCATCTGAGGATGTTCTCTATCTGGGCTGTCAGGTCACTGTCTCTGCGCGTCTATCTGAATGAGTGACGTTATTCATTTTCATCTTGTAATTGTTTGTTCTGCAGCATCTGTTCTGATGAGGTAGATGGATGGTGTGGTGGAGAGAGAAGTGTTCTCAGATGCTGCGTCAGCCTCTCTGTGGGTCCTGTATCCCAGCCCGTCATGGAAGACAGGAAAAATCTGCAGGAATCATTCAGTGCATTCACAGTCCAGTTTCAGGATTTTATTTTAAAAAAAAAAGGTTGTCAATGTCTGGTTCAGAGACTACTTGTGGCTCCTCCCACAGCTTAAAAGTATGCTTAATATGTGTAGGTTGATTGGACATAAATTGACCATAGGTATGAATGTAAATTGTATGTCTCTATATGTCTCATTTTATCTTGTGCATGTATTATTCCCATCATAGATACAGTATAGTCTATCCACATGAGTATATAGTATAGTCAAAATCATTATGACTGATTTAGATTTGTTTTAGAGTTATTATAATTACCTAATTTTGTTTCTTATGTTCTTCATCAAAATGGTGTTGATTCTTTCACCTTTTCCTATATCTGGGTAACTTTAAGCTGTTTTGCTGTTGTTATGACACAGAGTTAAATCAATGACTTTTATTCCATGCTGCTGTGACATGAATTGATGCATCCAAAAATGCACCTTACAGCATTAGT